TTGCTTTTCATTTCGAATGAACGCTGTTGATTCACTCGGTTGCCCGTGGCAGCTCATGTTGCTCGGGCTTAATTGTGTTTAATGTTTTATAAGCGGTTGTTGTTGTAGTACCAGGCAGTCTTGCAGACGTGTGATGGACGTTTTTGGACTACTAAGGACTTAACTGACCGTTTCTACATCGCTAGTCTAGTTCCAGTTGATCGTGCCACTCGAGTTTTCGCAATGGGCTAGGTGTTTCAAATTTTGACTGACCAGGTTCTGATCCTCGACCCTTTGATCGATTGCTTCGTTCCAAACCAATATATGTCAAAATTATACTTGTGCAATTTTGTTTACTCACAGGACAGGATATTCAAGAATTTGTGAGCTAAGAATAAGAGTACTCTCTTCGATGTCTCTTAAAGCACATTATATCTCTACAACAACAATAAAGTCTCTTACAGTCCCAAATAAAGTGGGGTAGGCTAGAGTTGAAATCCAACATGAGCCTCTAGTCACGGTTCAAGTCACGTCGATAGCTGCTTTCCAAGCACTCTTATCCAAACAAAGATCTCTAGGTATATCTCAACCTTTTAAATCTCTTTTTATTGCTTTCCCCCATGTCAGCTTCAGTCTTCCTACCTCTCTTTACATTTATATCTCGACTTCTGACTCTACAATGCACTGGTGCCTCTGAATGTTTCTTTTGGACATGGCCAAACCACCTCAACCGATGTTGGACAAGCTTTTCTTCAATTGGTGCTACCCCTAGACGGTCGCATATATCATCGTTCCGAACTCAGTCCATCCTTGTATCAAACCACAAATCCAACGCAACATACGCATTTCCGCGATACTCAGTTGTTGGACGTCGTCTTTTCGTAGGCCAACATTCTGCTCCATACAACATAGCGGGCCTAATCGTCGTTCTATAAAACTTGTCTTTAAGCTTTTGTGGTACCATCTTATCACAAAGAATGTCAGATGCTTGGCGTCACTCCATCCACCCTGCTTTGATCCTATGACAAACGTCTGCATCGATATCTCCATCCTTCTGTAGTATTGATCCTAGATAACGGAATGGCCCCGTTCGCGTGCCCTTAAACCCGGCTTGATCCGCTTCTTTTTTCATCCGAAACAGTGTTTTCCTCTCACAGATTCCTCCAACCCATCCAAATTCCAACATAACCATACCATCCGAACGGGACCAATGTATCTTTCTCAGGCACCAAAGCACATTATATCTCTCCTTTAGCAATTTCTTTCAAGTCCCCTCTTTAATCTCTTTTACGAGGCACATTGTAACATGACACGATGTTTAAATCAGATAACCCGTTTAATTGCAAATCTAATCATGTTAAGTTTATATTATAATAATAATAAATTGTTAGTTAAATCATTTGGCAAAGATTTTAAAGTTTAAATCTTGATATGATAAAAGAGAATGGAAGGAGTGATATCTAAATATTCCCTATTCTCTGTTTATGGTTTCTCACTCTATGTTCTCAAAGGATACAGAGAGCGGAGCTAGCTCTTCAGAGTACCGAAGCCGTTCTCTATCTATAGTTTCTTAATAAAGTTGTTGAAGCCGTTCACTATTTATGGTTTCTCACTATATGCTCTCCAAGGCTCTCTAGAGTACCAAACAAGAGAAGTTGTCAGCGTTATTTTATCAAAATGGCTCTGCAAACAAAAAATTATCAAAGCTTAGAATTTCTAAGGGCACATTTGGCGGGGCTTTAGCTCCGGCGCCTACAGAAGCCGGACAAACGGGGAACGAGGGAACAGCTCCCGGAGCTAGAGCCCTTTTTCAACTCGATGCTTTGCTGGTGCACGGCTGCACGCGCGAGTGCGCGACGCTGGGACCGAGCACAACGGTTAGGCAGGACGCGGAGGACATGGACGGTGCGGGTAGGCAGCCGTGTCCAGGACGCGACTGGCGCAGGCGTGCAGCCCGGCGGCTAGGATGTGGCCGGCGCGGGCGCACAGCTCCGCAGCCAGGTTAGCTCCTCTCCTGTAGGCCAATGTCAAGAACTGACGCCCGCACGCCATGGAGAAGAGCTGCATGTGTGTGGCCGGACTGAGAGAAGGAGATGGCAACACTCTGGGTAGATGTGCGAGTGCTAACAGTGAAGGTAACAGCAATGCTGCACAATTGGAGTTCTCTGTGTCCGAAGAAGAAAGTCCCAGAATTTCTAGATCACCTGGACAAACTAAAAAACTTCGCCACAAGACCTCACCGACTACCTGGCTTAGTCGGGTGAATGATGAATGTGATCGCATCTTATATCAATCTGGGAACAACTCGAAGATCAATATAGTATCTGATGAAGTTAAAGCTCTGCTGGCAAATAGAGTTGATCTGGAAAGGATGGCTCGTGAAAGAAACTGGATTAGCTTTGCGAGTCTTGCGGAAGCTTGGGGGATGTAACGATGTCAGTATTTAGTTCTGCTATACTATGCGTTTGTTTTGCCTGTTGAGGCCTTCTGCGTTCTGTTGGAGTTCTGAACTCTAAGGGCGTGTTTGGTATGGCTCCAACTCTGGGTGGAGCTGCTCCACTCCAGAACTCCAGGTGGAGCCAGCTCTGGGTGGAGTTGGAACTGTCTGATTGAGGTGTTTGGCTGGGACGGTACCTTCAGCTTCAAAAAGACAACTTTTAGGATGAATTGCCATTGTTACCCCCAACTCACGTCCCCATATGTCAGCCTCTCCACCCTATCTTCTTCTTCGTCAGAATGCCGGTTGTGCTTGAACCCGGTGGAGCTTCGCACGAGACGTGGCGGTGCTGGCCGGTTGAGAGTAGGACGGGGCTGTGGCGGCGCGGGTCAGCGGCGACTGGGATGAGAGCAGGATGGGGCTGTGGCGGCGCGGGTCAGCGGCGGCCGGCACGGGCCGTACCACGCTCCCAGCGGCTGCAGGCAACCAAGCGGCGGCGCACGGCTGGGTCTCGAGGCCAGTGCTTGGCCGTCGCAGGCGTTGGGCCAAGCCGCTCCTCCCGGGCGACGGCTGCGCCGCCTTTTCGTCAGCCGCACCGCGCTAAGCGCCCAAGCTGCTCCGCCCGGCCACGTCTTGCCCCTTCGCCGACCGCACCGCACACTCGCGGAAGGATAGAAGCAACCTACGCGGGGCGGGGCAGGCGGCCTGGTTGGAGGCTGCACGACGGGCTCCGCGGTGGTCGGGCTGGCGGCGTCGCCCTACTGTGGATTGGAGCCCCCAGGATGGGGGATGACGGGGAGGTGGGAGCAGTGGCGGATGGTGGAGTGAGAATAGGCCGGCCGGCACGCACGACGGCGGCGGCATATCATGGGACGACACAGGCTGTGGCACGGACGGGGAAGGTGGGGGTGGCGGCGGGGATGCGCCCTCCGACCATCGGGGGAGTGTGAATGGCGGCAGGTCGGTAGTGGCGGGATGAGGCAGGGGTTGCGTCGGGAAGGAGACGGAGAATACAAAGAACGGACCGTTTTCTATGTAACCAGTGGCATTGGTGGGTAATTATCCATTAACTCCACGAGAAGGTTCATATTGGGTGGTTTTGGAGCTGTAAAAGAGGTGCTCCAAAACTCCACCCCCATTTGCACTATAGCCCCATAGAGTTGGCAGCTTCATGGAGTTTTAGAGCTGGGGTGTTTGGCTGGAAAATTGGCTGGAGTTGTTAGAGTTCAGCTCCAAAGCCATGCCAAACACGCCCTAAATGTTATAAGGAGCTTAACGGTTTGGTTTTTGCAATATAAAGGCCGGGGGACACCCTTGAACTCTAACAAAAGAGGAGATGGCTAGTGCGGCTCATGGAGGTCTGTGGTGTTGCTTATGATATGCTTGCATTTTTTTTTATTGTGAACTGTCCTGAAGCTCTGCTCAAGGGGATGAGAAAAGAACCAACATATAACAAGATGTACACGCCAATAGTTTGACAAAATGGGCAGCCCAGTTACAGGCCACACAACACCGTCAATTGAACCTTTATAGCACAACACATTTTAATTTCTCTTACGTATACACAAGTCAGATAAGTAGGGACACAATGGACATTTTATATCTACTATTTTTTCTCGAAATACAGAAGAAACGCTTTGCCACAGGGCTTCAGCTACACTGGAGCGAAAGCCAAAACTGTTTTCTAAACTGGAGCCAAAGCCGAAGCCGTTTTCAGGTAAGACAAAGCCAGAGCTATTTTTAAGAGCCAGAGCCTTGCCAAACTAGCCCTAAGTAGCAGAATATGAACAGCCGTGGTAACTAAGCACCATGGATAACACGTGAACAAAGCAGAGCACTAGCCCTACACATTGAGGACCTGATTGGAACACAATAATTTCACAGAAATAGTGCAAAAATTTCGTAAAAATCAGTCCAATTTCACAAGAAAAACACATAAATAGAAAACATTTCCCTTGTTCCAAACAGGCCCTCAAGTCATAAATAAACAACTTAATGTGCATAAAACACAGCTATTCTTTACGAAAACTGGCAAGTACAGCCCCTCAAATTAGGGAAATGAGAACCACCATACAGCAAGGTTAGCAGGGAAATTGTTGTCTGATAGTCAAAACAAATCAGCCGATGGCCACTTAGTCTGGTCACATTAGGAAGGATAGCCGTCTCCATTATACAATACCGAAAGAATATACAAAAAGTTTGTTAGTTGGTCTTCCGCAAGAATATACAAAAAGTTTGTTAGTCTTCCGCAATTAGTTTGGAGCCCCTACACTGGTCCTTCATGAGTCAGCGCCCCCCTCCCAGTGCATGTTCATGGTGTCTGTAGTAATTCTAATGCTCCTGCATATGGAAAAATCATACGGGTAAGAGTGACTGCACATTTTTAGTAAAATAGTAGAAACGTTGTGTTCTAGTGGGAGAACTAACCAGGTTCAAGTTTCCTTCTGGGCTCATGATGATTTGGTGCATTTTATGTCCTTGAGCTGATTGTTGATTTAAGTTAGTTTCGCTGACTCACATAAGGCTGGACTCCAATTGTATGAAAACTCATCCTCTTCATCGTGAAAAACGAAAAAGACTTGGATCATTGTGGTACTACTCCACACAATCTTGCTCGTCCCGGGTTAAGAAGTGATTCAGACATTATCCATCCCTGTGAGGATAAAAGGGGTTATTAACAACAACAAAAGAATAAATCATGTGTCTTGTCATGTTATTTGTTATTTTGTTTGCCAGAGTGCAGGGGTGGGTTGTAATCATACAAAGTGATATTTACCTGTTCTCTTGCTTTCTTCTTGAAAACTCCATAAGATGACATGACGATCTTGCACGACTCTTCGATGTGTGGTACGAAGTCCATGTTCAGTGGGTTATACTGGTATGACCGATTGGAGTTCATGCGCTTCTGTGCATTCAGGTTAGCATGTGAAGCATTGATAAAATGCAGTAACACGTGTGCCTGTTAATCAAAACATAATTGAAGAGGATAAGAAAATGCAAAGAACTTTAGCAGTGGAGTCCTACAAAAGAATAGAGTACAATCAAAACTTACATGAAAAGCAGCTTTGAGAATGTCATCTGGCTTTGCTTGGTCCTTGAGCAAAGCATATACCTTGTCCTTTGTCGGGTTATATGTAACAATATACCTCTCATCCTGCAATCAAACCACATTGCAACTTCACAGACTGATCTTTGATTACACCAAAGGAAGGAAAACATACTGGATGGAGCAAATAAGATGGTACCTCGAACAAAGGTTTTATAGCAATAAACGAAGCAGGTTCTTGAAACGCCTCCCCAAATCTTGATCCTGTAAGGGAACAAAACTGTTTAGTAGAGGTTCTACATTGTACCTGCATACAGGAATGTATAAGATTATTAAGAGTACAAACCTATTGCGACTGGCTCATGTCGCCAAGGTGGATTAAATATTGTCTCTTGTGAGTTTCCATCCTTCAGTGAGGGTACATACCCTGCACAGTAAAACAGGAGACAAAAATATCACACTGGGTGACAATGTGACATGCAAATAATAAACTGGCGACTGAAGACTTAGCCTTCATTTAAACTCCATACTTCAGATGCTAGTCTTTAGGCTTTGTTATTATTCAGCTAATTTCACTATTAAAATTCTAATCTTCTAAATTTAATTGCATAAACTAACAAACTATTTACGGATACAATTTCAGTTCCTTCTCATAAACACATCTGGTGTATTTAGAATAATGTCGCTAAAGATTTATTAGTTACTATGTTAGCTTTGAAACACACTTGCATTTGCACACACACACAAAAAATCTCTCTTTGCAGAACTTGTACAAAATTTTGATTTGCACAGACTAAAAAAGATATGTTGACATACCAGTCCTGATGAAAGAATCCACAGCCACAGTGAACCTTGCTCTATTCAGGGTATTCAGTACAACAGATCTCACCTGGTTATAAAATAATATTAGTGCTGTTACCTGGAAGTTTATCAGAAAAAAAATACAAGAGCAACACACTAAAGGGATTTACAAGTGTACCTCATGATATGAACTGAGAAGATATCCGCACGACAAGACGGCAAATGAAGTTACCAGTGATGGATTGCTTTTAGAGATTAGAATGCTCATTCCAGTTCCCAACTTCACAAACAAAAAATAACAAACAAAAGAAATCTTAAAAACTAAATCGGAGAAGGAAAAAATGAGAACGATTGAGAAAGCATAATATAATAATATGATAATAACACAATGGCAGCAGCAAAGAAAGCTGCAAGTTCAATGAAAAACATGAACACTTACCAGATCAGCAATGTTTCCAACACTTTCTCCTTTAGCAGTGACATCACCGATATTTTCTCCTTTTGCATATGCCTTGTAGATTGGTGTTCGAGTAGAGGTGGAAGTGACAGCAGCAACATTCTGATTGGAGCAAATGCATCAAACAAGTAGAGTACATTTCATCACTCATTTTGCAAGTAAAGGCAAGTTAAAAATATTAGTAACATACTATAGCAAGAACCTGTTGCAACAAATTACTAGGACAAACCTTAACAACATTTGCTATGCATGCCATTGGTAGGAAAAGTTGTGGGAAAGCTGCAGTAGCTAATTCTATCCCAGCTCCTAACTCCATCAAGAGATCACCAGAAAAGCGAAGCTATAGGAAATTTTCATTTCAACTAGTCATTAGCATGAAAGAAAATTAAGTACTGCAGAAGGGCACACATTGAACCTAATAAATGCACCTGCTTCAGGTCATAATCAAATTTCTTCCCTTGGCGGGCAAAAAGCATCTTTCCAACACGCCCAGCCCCATCCTGTAGTAGCAAAACAATACAGATATCAGACAGTAGTACTTTTTGCTAACTGCACATGGTGAATCTAGTTAAAATAAGTCACCGTTCACAAGTGCTATTTTCTGTAAGAAGGACATTAACAGTACTAGAGATATAGTTGGATAGATCTTAAAGACATTGTGTTCGTTATTTTGGATACTATATTGCAAGCTTTGTTGTTCTCTTTGAACATGACTTCGATAAATATCACAAAAAGAAAACTCTATTGATCAGTTTTTTTCTCAACATAAGCTTTTGGTGGCAGACTTTCGTTTTCAGGTGCGTGCCCGTAGGGATAAACAAGCTAAGATTGAAAAAACAAAGTGGTAGAAACTGAAAGGGGAGACGTCAAAGGTATTCAGGGAAAGGGTTATCAAAGAGGGCACTTGGAAGGAAGAAGAGAGCATAAACAACATGTGGGAGAAGACGGCAACCAACATTCGGAAGGTGGCCTCAGATGTGTGTGGAGTAACCAAAGGAAGTGGAGGCGGGGCTAAAGATACTTGGTGGTGGAACGAGGAAGTCCAAAGGGCTATTAAGGAGAAAAAAGAATGCTATAGACGCTTGTACCATGACAGGAGTGTGAACAATATAGAGAAGTACAAGGTGGCAAAGAAGATTGCAAAGCGAGCTGTAAGTGTGGCAAAGGGAAGAGCGTACGAGAATCTTTACCAACATTTGAGTACGAAGGAAGGAGAGAAGGACATTTATAGGATGGCTAGGGTTCGTGAGAGAAAGACAAGGGACTTCAACCAAGTTAAGTGCATTAAGGATGAAAGGGAGCATCTCTTGGTGAAGAAAGATGAGATCCGACATCGATGACAAGAGTGTTTTGACAAATTGTTCAATGGTGAGAATATGGACACAACCTTTCAGTTGAATGACTCTTTTGATGACACCAATAGGAGTTTTGTGCGGAGAATCCAAGATTCTGAGGTCAGAGAGACGTTGAAAAGGATAAAAGGAGGTAAGGCGATGGGACCGGATGGTATCCCAATCGAGGTGTGGAGATACCTCGGGGACATAGCTATAGTATGGCTAACCAAGTTGTTCAACCATATTTTTCGATCGAACAAGATGCCTGACGAGTGGAGGAGAAGTATATTGGTACCGATCTACAACAATAAAGAGGATATTCAAAGTTGTACTAATTACCGGGGAATTAAGTTGATGAGCCATACTATGAAGCTATGGGAGAGAGTTATCGAGCATCGCTTGAGAGCAATAACGTGGGTCTCTATGAACCAATTTGGTTTCATGCCTAGAAAGTCAACCATGGAAACCATTTTCTTAATAAGACAAGTTATGGAGCGGTATAGGGAGAACAAGAAGGACCTACACATGATTTTTATTGACTTGGAGAAGGTTTATGATAAAATACCAAGGAATGTTATGTGGTGGGCTTTGGACAAACATAAAGTCCCAACGAAGTACGTCGGGCTCAAGGACATGTACAACAATGTTGTGACTAGTGTTCGAACAAGTGATGGAGACACGAATGACTTCCCGATTAGGATAGGACTACATCAAAGGTAAGCTTTGAGCCCTTATCTGTTTGCCTTAGTGATGGATGAGGTCACAAGGGACATACAAGGGGACATCCCTTGGTGTATGCTTTTCGCGGACGATGTAGTGCTAGTTGATGAAAGTCGGACAGAAGTGAATCAGAAACTGGAGTTATGGCGGGAGACTTTGGAGTTCAAAGGTTTTAGACTCAGTAGAACTAAAACTGAGTATATGAGATGTGACTTCGGCACTACTTCTCGGGAGGAGGAAGATATTAGTTTTGAAGGTCAAGTAGTGCCAAGGAAGGATACCTTTCGATATTTATGATCAATGCTACAGAGAGACGGGGATATTGATGAAGATGTTAGCCATAGGATCAAAGCAGGGTGGATGAAGTGGCGCCAAACATCCGGTGTCCTATGTGACAAAATGGTACCACAGAAGCTAAAAAACAAGTTTTATAGGACGGCGATTAGACCTACTATGTTGCATGGTGCAGAATGTTGGCCTACGAAAAAACGACATATTCAACAGATAAGTGTCGCGGAAATGCCTATGTTGCGTTGGATTTGCGGTCATATAAGAAGTGATCGAGTTCGGAACGATGATATACGTGATAGATTAGGGGTAGCACCAATTGAAGAAAAGCTTATCCAACACCGGTTGAGATGGTTTGAACATGTCCAACGGAGACCTCCAGAGGCACCGGTGCGTAGTGGAATCCTAAGCCAGGATAGTAACGTGAAGAGAGGCAGAGGAAGACCGAAGTTGACTTGGACAGAGGCAATAAAAGGAGACTTGAAAGGATGGAATATACCCAAAGACTTAGCCTTAGATAGGAGTGCTTGAAAAACAGCTATTCACGTGGCTAAACCTTGATTGTTTCTGTTGGGTTTCAACTCTAGCCTACCCCAACTTGTTTGGGACTTAAAGGCTTTGTTGTTGTTATTGTATTGATCAGTTTTTCAATAAAGAAAGGAAAAAAAAGTATTTTTACCTTGAGTATCCAGTTGATAGCCACAGCACCAGATGCAGCCCTGCTTTGGGAGACTCCAACAGAGTTGAGCAAGGTTCTTGTTGTAAACACACCCATTGCTCCACCAAAGAAATGCTGACACGAGAAAAAAGAAAGGCAAAATTAAATAAATACATCTATCCAGTAGATCGTGGAATCTAAATATAATGTAATGAAAATATACCTTCATTGCTCTCCATGTCATGTATGGAACATATGAAGGTGTGACACTTTCTGGAAAGCCTTCGGGCACAACATATGACCTTATAAAGGACATTATTTCCTGCAGCAATAAAAATATGTGGAAATTGGAATCACTATATTAGTTCATCATCCTAAATCATGACCATTCATTTTATCTAGTATTTCTGTAGTTGAAAACAAAGGAGGTAATTAACACCAAAAGATAACAATCACAAGGAACAGTGTGCTATTGAGCGGCATCCAACAAACAATTAGCTTCAACGAGACACCAGGGTCACTTTGCCTAAAGATTGCAGCTTTGCTCCACCAGCAAGGCAGCAAAGTCCCTAAATAGATAACCTGAGGTCAGAACAAGTTGATCCTGAATCACATACTAGGCCATGCATGATAAACCTAACTGAGGAAATCGAATTCAAAGCCAACCGACGACTCAATACCAAACCACATTTACTGAAAAAGTTGAATTAATTGCTCGGAGACAACCAACAAAACAAATAAAAGACCCAACTTTTCTTTTCGAGAAATAAAAAACGAGGCCTGCAGTTGCGGATCCAATCTGGACAGAAATAATTAAAGTTTCGACACTTCGCCTCAAACAACCAGACACAAGTGCAATTAACTTTGAGCCAAATTCCGACCAAATCATTGTTTCAAGCATATCCATCCACATCATATCGGATCCAACATCCAAGTGTAAATTCTGATCCGTTGCTGCTGCTGCCGAAACCTCAAATTCTCGACAAAGGAAACAGCAGCACAACACCACCAAAACACCAATAAATCCACACATCATCCTTCAACCTTGTCAAATCACACCATATCACCTCCTTGTCAAACCACGCCATCCCACCCGTATAAACAAACACAGAGCAATTCGACAGAAAAAGCGCAAACCATCACCCACAGTATCCCGTATAAACAAACACAGAGCAATTCGACAGAAAAAAGCGCAAACCATCACCCACAGTATCAGAAACCCCTCCGGTCCAGTGCGGTAGGAGGAGGTGGCCTCACCTCGACGGGTGGGAGCGGGGACTGGAGCGGGACGGCCTTGAAGGCGCCGCCGACGGACGCCCTTCCCTTGGCCTTGACCGCGGCGCCGGCGGCGTCGACCACGTAGCTCCACCGCCTGCCGTCGACCTCCTCCAGGCACAGCACCCCGTCCCTGGCGATCTCCGCCGGCACTGCCGCCGTCGCCGGGACCCTGGCGGCCGGGGCGGTAGCCTTCGCCGCGGTGGCCTCGGCCTCCCGCACGGCGGCGCGCACCGCGTCCCGCACGGCCGGCGCGGACAGCGTGACGGTCTGCGCTGCTGCCGCCGCCCCCGCTCCCGCCGCCGCCGCAGACCGCTTCAGCCCCATCGCAGGCGCCATGCGGAGGGGTGGGGCGCGGGGGTGGGTGGGTGAGATTCAGATGTGGTGAAGGGCGTTGCCGAAAGACAGCGAAGCAGCGCGGCCGCTTGGGGAGATGGAATAGGCTTTTATACGCGGCTCACCTCCGAGGCTCCGGCTCGCGGCCAAGAGATCGCGCGACTAGGCTACGAGTACTCGTGTGGGCTGGACACGATATTTTTTTAGTACTTCTGATGACTGGCAGAGTGGGGTCTGGATCCTGTGGGCCCATGTATCGGCGTGATGGGCTGGAGTTGGGAGGCGGCGGAAGTGGTTGACAGGTTGACGGACGTGTGGCCGGCTGCTGGTGCCAGCCGGAGGACGGTCCCCAACTTCCCGTGCGCTGCAGCGGGCTCCCGCTTTGACCGCCAGGTGGGGCCAGGTGGAATTTCGGGCCCACGTTTCACAGGGGTTTTTTCTTTGATAAAATTTCATGGGAAAAGGTGGATGGTTTATTTGGCTGACATTTTTTTATTTAACTCTTGCCTTGTCACCGTATCACCGTAGTTTCCACTTTGTAGGCTACTACTAGTAATAAAGAGAAATGGGAGAGAGCATTTTGGAGTGGAGCTTGTCATGTTTGACTCCTTTTTGCATGGACTTGTGGGTCTAGTACATTACCTAAGAGGTATTTTATGTTTTTATTTAAGTTAAAATATAAATTGTAGTTATTTTATTTTTTCAAAGAGAAACTCTTATACTTCAACCATTTTTAAAAAATGCATAAATATGTACAACATCAAACTAGATTGATTTAGATACCATGCAATATGTTTTGATATATTTAGTTGACTAGTAGAGGTGAACGTGTTTATTGAAAGCAATTTTGTATTTTTGAAACACAACAGTTGTGTTCGGTACCACTGAAGTAAGTGTTGTGGCTATAGCTTTTTACTGTAGTCCTTCTCGGTGAAAACCGCTGTTGTAGCGTAAATCCTGCAGGGTCATGACCCATGAATCCAGCAAAGGCGAGAACCCGCGGAATCCTGCCATTCAAGATGGCAACGGGTACCCGAAACCCGAGTACCCGACGGGTTTTACTCGATAAAGAGGTGGATATGGAACACATTTTGCACCCGCGGGTACGTTATTGGACGAATTCTTGTACCCATCGGGTATGCGGGTACGGGTGTGGGTGTATACTATCCATACCCGCATACCCGCGGGTAAAAAAAACCCGCATAAATAATATCCAACCTCTACAATTTTAGCCCATATAAGCATATAGCCCATGTTTGGCCCATATAAGCATATGAGTATATATATTCTAGAACTCTCTCAAACCCTAATCCTCATCTTCACTCCACTCCACCAACCCATATTTCTGTTTTGCTGCTCTATTGTTGATTTGTTTTGCTGGAAGCTATTATATTTTGGTGTGTGAACTCGGGTATATTGTCGGGTAAGAATTACCCGTCGGGTGCGGGTATGGAATGAATTTTCTACCCGCCTGCGGGTACGGGTAACCCGACGGGTAAGATTTTGATCTGACAGGTGCGGGTACGGGTGGCCAGTACCTATCGGGTACGTACCCGTTGCCATCTTGACCTGCCATGGAGCATGAGCAATGGAGCCAAAGATCGAAATTTTGGAGCGGCCACAGGCGCGGCCCTGCCGTCGGTTACTGTCATAACCCATGAATTTAATAATTATTTAAACGAATTGTGTATGTTATGGCTCTCTTGTTTGGACAAAAAAATGACGCGAGAGGTGGAAAGCTCGCGGCACCACGAAAAATCGGAATTCCCGAGCGACGGCCCCCTCCCTTTCGTGCAGATTCCGCGAGATCATTCATGGGTCATGACAGCGAGCTGCCGAGCAGCTGCCGAGCAGCAGCAGCCCTGGTCGGTTGCCATTATAAACCATGGATACTCTCTCAGTAAATCAGCTGTACGAATCAGCATCAGCGCCTTATATCAGCCTAACAGAGCCAACGGACGTGTGGGCGCCACCGCCGCATGTGCGGATGTCCTGCCAGCAACCAGGCGCGCCGCGGGAGGCAGCCACGGGCCACGGCCTCGCGTTCGCTTCGCTCGGCCGGCCGCGGCCGGGATTAACGCGGCGCGGCGCTTGATTTTTTTTCTGGCCCGAGACGGGGAATCTACCGAATCACGCCTTTGTTTTCGTGTGGACGCAGATTTTTTGCCGCCGGGCCCGACGCCCCGTCGTCGGCTCGCCGTCCACGGACCACGGGACGTCCACCACCGGCCACGAGGACGCGCGCCCCGGTGCCCATCGCCATCGGCGAGGCCGACGCGAGACTCGCGAGTCCGTCCTTTGTCATCTGTGCTGCAGCCAGTAAACGATTCTTTTTTCAGCGTGATCTCACAGTAATCAGTCCGCTAAGGACCTCGTGCTGATCCACGTGATAACCTTCGTGAAAGGAAATCGATCCCTGTACCAGCACACTAGCACGACTGCACGAGACGGGCACGTTCGTTCTGCGCCTGTCGCTGTCACTGTCCGGGCGCGCGGACAGCGGCGAATTAGGATTTTACCTCCGGGTACGCCGCTCAACAAAATTTCTATCTAATTCGGCAAATCATTTAGCCTGTTCGCTGGGCGGTTTCTGGACTGATAAGTCTGGCTGGTGCTGGTTTATTGTGAGAAAAAAATACTGTACCATGACTGATAAGCCATGGCTGAAACCAACAAGTGAACAGACTGATTTAGCAATTTGGTAATGGTAGTAAAATTGGCAACGTAATTCGGTAACGATAGTAAAATTTGCAACAGAATTTGGTAATAGTAGTTTAGTAGCAGTGGTAAAATTTGTAACGTAGGGATGACTCAATGTTGTTAGCAATGAAAGTAGATAAGATTTGTCTGCATGAAAAAGAAGAGAGAAGAGAGCAAAGACTGAATCATGTCTTGGTGTCTCAGACAGTCGGCTTTATTTGTTAGCTATGCACGCGCAACTAGCAGGCAATAAACGAACTCCCTAGCTACAAACTTGCGGTAGATGAATGGACGAGAGCAGATGGTGCGTTAGATCTAGAAGCCAAGGCATCACCACGTTAGTTGTCAGGACTTGCCAAGGTGTTACCACGACAAGACCTGGAGTCCTAGATCTCACGTCCGTGTTACTGTGGGCGTATGGGCCTGGACCCTAGAGAAAAGCAGCACAGCTGCAAAGGCCATCTCGACAAAGTTGGGCTGCTAGCGTTGCGTTTGTTTTCAGTTCTCCAGCCTACAGGTAAGTGTTCTTTTAGTTTTGTTTTTTTTTCAAATACAGTATATATACTCTAATACATGCCGGATTTGCCGGTATACCGGTGCATACCTGGCATATCCTGTAGCTCGGCCCCTGCGCGCGGATCCTTCAGGGTGAGCGCGCTGAACGTGGTGGGTTCAGGCAGGCCATCTCGCTCGCCGGCCGGCGGCGGCGGCGATTAGGTGGCGTTCATTGTCCCCAGAGCCTCGTTTGCTGACAGGAGCAGCGTTGTCGTCCGGTCCGGGTAACCCACGGCTCCCCACGATGGATTCTTTTTTTGCTTCGATTCGATGAGGAAGGCCGCCGTGCTCTACGCTGCCAGCATCCATGTATTTTCTTTGGTGTCCGGTCACTGGCGCCGGCGCGGCGCGTTGGGCGTGGCTTGAACAGGGCTTTGTTTTCTCCCATGCCTACGCGTCACTGCTCGGTGCTCACTTGACTAGGATGATAGTTGCCGATCGATTTTCTCTGTGTGAGACAACGACGGTCTCACTACTCGCGATGCCAAACAGTTCTCTATGGCGACGGTGAGCACAGCACACGCATTATTGTCTTCATTCATGCACCGAACAAATCGGACCAATCCTATTCGTGCGTATTGAGTGGACTATGAGTGTAGAAAGGGACACATGAACTCAATTTTCCCCGCTAATAAGGGCTGGGTCACCATCTTTGCACGTTGCCATCCTAGTATATGTAATTATGTTCCGGCCTACCTAATGTTGTGTATTATAGAGCTATACGCACTATCTATTTGTATCCTTATACCACGCACCCGTCTTAGTTTTGAGAACAAGGTAACAAATCCATGTAGTTTAAGACAGACAGTATGTATCAACCTACTCAGCACTCTTGTCCTACTATGATCAAAGGACGGACGTTTGAACTGTTCTCCAATGTAGTTAACTGTAAATTTGGCTATATATGCTTGTAACGTTAGGAATGGTAAATTCTTGGTGAAAATATTGGATTGTTTAGTATAGATGATGACTAAGCCAAATCGAGGTTGGGGCTACCATGGTTGATATTGTTGTCTTTTTGTTCAATACATGGTTCTAAATAGTCCGCTATAGCTTTTCAGATGACATACTGCTATGGTATTGCTTGTTGTTCGGGCACTGCAGCTAAAGATGCTTTAGCTCCACTAGACACCACTATTTTGGTTCGCTGTGAAATTCTCTTAGTGTCGCTAACCCCCGACGAAGGAAAATATCCATTCTTTACTGTAGATGACTATAATCTATAGCTTATCGATGTGTTATTTACTAAGTAAATGATGTAATGAACCATTAAAACTATTGAGTTGTTCATTGTTGTACGTTGGATGACTACGAACGTAGATTATAGACACTGAGTATGTTATTTGATTGAATGACTTTTTTTTTGCGATTATTTGATTGAATGACTTAAATAATGGATATGTACACATGTTCTCCTAGAGCTTTGGTCATGTGTTTGAGTTTATGAACTTTTTCTAGTTTCTTGTTTCTGTGCATAGTTAGTTACTCCCTCCATTCTAAATTAAAAGTATTTATTTTTTTAAATACGTATCTTTTCTATGTATTTAGATATAGCGTATATCCATGTGCATCGCAAAAGCTAGGCACTTATAATAACTCTAGTGTGCCTCCAAACCGAACTGTAGGCTGAGGTGGATGATTGATCAACGAACAAAATACATTGTAGGCATCGTACCATAGGATGTCAGAGCTCAAAATTGAATCTTATTTCTAGTTCGAACCATCAACAATAAAAA